TCAAATATATAATATAATTAATTGCTTTAAAATAATCTAATTTAATCTAATAATAAAAGGCACGTGCATGTAGAAGGAGATAAAGGTGCTATAGAAGTTATTGTAATTTCTTGGCTTATATATATTGGTATATGATGTTGTATGTGAGAGGATAACAATTATAAATAGAGTTCTATTTAAATAATAATAATAATAGTATAATTAAAATTTAAAACTAACTATGCAGTACTTTGAACTACTTTAATTTTAATCGGTGAGAGATCGCCACTTTGTGTGTAATTGTTAAGCATATAGCATGTGAATACTTGTTTGCAGATTGGCATTATTAATCATTTAGCACGTGAATAATTGTTTATAGTTTGATCATTGATCACATATAAGAGACAGAGGGGTAAAGTTGGCATTTAATAATTCGTCTAATTAACTTAAGCGTACAGTGAACTACTTGAATTTTAGCCGGTGAGGGATCACCACGTTATATGTGATTATTAATCATATATCATGTGAATAATTGTTCGCAGTTTGGCATTATTAATCATGTAGCACGTGAAAAATTATTTGCAGTTTGATCATTGATCACATATAAGAACGAGGGGGTAAATTTGACATTTAATAAATTATCTAATTTACTTAAGAAAAATTAGATAAAAGTATTGTGAAAGTTGTTGCAATTTTATAATTCATAATTTTTAAACAATCTAATATATTCTAATAAGAAGTAAATAACAAAGGCACATACTTGTTGAAGGAGATAAAATTATTGTAAAAATTATTACAATTTCTTGATCTGAAAAAAGATCAAATATATAATATAATTAATTACTTTAAAATAATCTAATTTAATCTAATAATAAAAGGCACGTGCCTGTAGAAGGAGATAAAGGTGCTATAGAAGTTATTGTAATTTCTTGGCTTATATATATTAGTATATGATGTTGCATGTGAGAGGATAACAATTATAAATAGAGTTCTATTTAAATAATAATAATAGTATAATTAAAATTTGAAACTAACTATGCAGTACTTTGAACTACTTTAATTTTAGTCGGTGAGAGATCGCCACTTTCTGTGTAATTGTTAATCATATAGCATGTGAATACTTGTTTGCAGATTAGCATTATTAATCATATAGCACGTGAATAATTGTTTACAGTTTGATCATTGATCACATATAAGAGACAGAAGGGTAAAGTTGGCATTTAATAAATCGTCTAATTAACTTAAGCGTACAGTGAACTACTTGAATTTTAGCCAGTGAGGGATCACCACGTTATGTGTGATTATTAATCATATAGCATGTGAATAATTATTCACAGTTTGACATTATTAATCACGTAGCACGCGAATAATTGTTTGCAGTTTGATCATTGATTGTAGGCGTCAAAAAAATGCTGAAAGATATCCAAATACAGCTCAAGAGGGAATCATCCAAAAAAGGCAGAAGAACACAAGTCTTGACTGTCTCGCCGCGCGAGACAGACTTGACTGTCTCGCGGAGTATCAGAAATAGAACGTGTGCTGATGTGGAAAAGCAGTTAAACCACGAAAAAGGTGGTTAAAGGTCGTGGGAGAACTGTTTCAAACACGTATGAACGTGGGTGTAACTGCCCCTTTAGCCGCGGCAGTGTCGACTGCCGCGCTCTTTGGCCGCGACAGTGTCGACTGTCGCGCCCTTTAGCCGCGACAGCATCAGCTGCCGCGCCTAAAGAGACAGTTATTGACCGGCTATTTCTTCAGTTATCGTCTAAGGAGGCTATAAATACCCCCCTATAGCCATCATTGACAGGGGCTGAGCATTTTCCAGAGAGATTAGAGCAGAGAGCCTTGAGTTTTGGTGAATTAGAGCAAGAGAGAGAGTCTTTCTTCTTCACAAACATCCTCAAGAAGCTTTTGGCCATTCCTAGAGATCTAAGCTCAGACTTGATCTTTGGAAGAGTGAACATCTTACATCGATAAGATATTCGCTTCAAATTCTTACTTCGATAAAACGAAGTCAGAATCATAAACCCCTCACGGTTCAATCAGAATCTGTGACTTGGTGGTCCACGAGTCAAAGCGCTCCCGGCACAGGCAAAGATCCCACGCAAGCAGCGATCCAAACAACGATCCTGCGTTTATTTCTAAGAAGTTGTAATTTTTATTTTGTTGTGTAAAAGAGGTCTTATAAAAAGACTATTTCTTTTGAATTTGTTGTAATCGACCGAAGAT